TTGTCTGAACACCTGCTCGAGGACAGCATTGGACAAGAAAGAGCTCAGTGGGCCTCCCTGTTTCACGCCAAGTTCGATACTGAAAGCCCTGCTGGTGGTGTCTGTCCTGACTGTTGCCGTCAGGGTGCAGTACAACTGTTTGAAGAAATTTATGCATGCAGGAGGTATGTGCTGTTGTCGCAAAGCTTCCCATAATTGTTCGTGGTCTACACAGTCGAACGCCTTCGTAAAGTCGATTGCTGCTGCCCACAGCGGTAGCTGCCACTCGTAGGAACCCACATGTAGCATGGCAGCGGTGAACAGGTGGTCCTCCGTGCAATAATATTTCCGGAAGCCTGCTTGGTCAGGGCACTGTTGCGAGTCGAACAGAGAGTTCAGACGGTTGCAAAGGAGGCCAGACATCAATTTTTAGAGCAATGGGACAATGGCAATCGGTCAGTAATTGCCTGGGAATTGGGGGTCTCCTGATTTGTAAATTACGATCACTGTGGCGGTCTTCCACTGGTCCGGTGGTGTCTGACTAGGTTTGATGATGTCGTTGTAGAGTCGGAGTAGGTTGTATTGTAGGGTAGCGCCCCGAGGTTTGAGCATTTCTGCTGTGAGCCCCGCGGTGTCTTTGCACTTGTCGTTCTTGAGTTGTTTGATTGATTGCTGTTCGGTTGCGGTGAGAGGTGGGATGGTTGAGTCGTGCTGAGTTGTCGTTGGGGTGTCGCGGAAGCTGTCTGAACGGTGCGGATTCTTGTATAGCTCCTCGTAGAAGGTTGCCAATACGTCTGTTATGCTTTGCCTGTGTGTCTCCTCAGTGCCATCAGGTGTCTTCATTGATGCAAGTAGCTCTTTGAGCTTGGTGGTTTCTAAACCAGCTGTTCTCTTTAGGCCTTTGAATTGGCAAACGATGTGTTCGAGCTTGGCGTTCATCTGATTGCGTTTGATGGCCCTTATCTGCCGCATGATTTGCTTGCTGAGGGACCTTCTGGTAGCTGGGTCCCTTGGTGAAGTAATGCGTCGTTGTTGGATGAGTGCTTTGAGCCGTGCTGTCGGACCGTCGTCGGGGATATCCGGAAGGTCTCTGGTGCTTTTCTCGTGGCGCTCCTGGTAGAACTTGTTTGCAACCTTGAGCCCTTCTCCGATGTCCCGGCATCTGCTGTCCAGGTCGGCGTCGTGGTGCTGGTTTGCCAGATGCTCTTGAAGGCACTGCTAGAACAGAGGGTCGTCAGCTGCAGGTTGGGAGCGCCTGTGGTGGCGCGTTTGCTTGTGTCCCCTCTTCCGTCTCGCCGTGGTCCTGAATGCCAACTTGATGTGCACTGCTTGGTGGTCGGAGCCGAGATCCGGGACGCTGGAGGCAAACGAAACAATCACCTGTTTGCGACGTGCTCTGTCTATCAGGATGTAGTCAAGTTCTGTCTGAGTCGGCTGTTTGCCACTGCTCGTGTAAGTGAAAAAGTTGTGGTGGTGCTTGTAGAAGAAAGTGTTTGCAATGATCATCTTATGTGTGCTAGACCATGTACGGAGCCATGTCCCTCGCGGGCTGCACGTGCCCAGTCCGAACTTGCCTACCGTGTTCCTCCGGCCCAAGGTCTTGGATCGTTGGTCGTCGTCTTTGCCGCCGTCGTTATTGTCAAGGTGTCTACCAACCTGTGCGTTGAAACCTTAGAGCACAGCATACGGGGGCAGGTTCAACATGCAGCACTGAGTTCAACAATCTCATGAGAATCTCAATTTCTCTTGCTGATGCTGCTTCACGGCGGCGCCGAGGCCTCATGATTCACCTCTTGCATAATCTATGTATTATCCGAGAGAGGGGGCCGGCGGCAGGGGGCGAAGCCCTTACGGATATGATGGGGATCCTTTTTTTTCTCCGGCGGGGGCACATCAATCTCGAGCCAAACGGCGTCGACAACGACGATCGCCCTGAAGCAAAACTTTACACACACTGCGTGGTGCAGCCTCGTGGTCTCTCGTGAGCGCCCCGAGCGCTGAGCTTACACAACGTAGCTTGCACCACATAGCTTACACGGCATAGCTTACGCTTCACAGCTTGCACAACGGTGCTTACACCACACCGCTTACAGCGCGTAGCTACGTATCACATCCAGCTCGCACCATATGTATGTATATATATATATATATATACTAGAACCACGCGCGCGCTTCGCGCGCGCTTAGGTTCTGTCGAGTCACAGACCCAGGAATCGTGGAACCCCTCTCGGGCCCATCTTGGGGCTCTCTTGGGCCGCCTTTGGAGCCTCTTGGGGCGTCCTGGGTCTCTCGTGGGGGCTTCTTGGAGCTCTCTTGGCGCCTCCTGGAGCCTCTTGGGGCCGAAAGCTCGGAATTCTACAGTGGCTTTCTCCCTCTGGGACCCCTCTCGGGCACGCCTTGGGGCTCTCTTAGGCCATTTTGGAGTCCGATTTTGCCGTCCTGGGCGCCTCGTGAACCGTCTTGGAACTCTCTTGGGGGCCACCTAGGCCGTCTTGGGAGCCTCTTCGGACGTGTTGGACGCGGTGAAAACCCAACAGGCGACCATGCGAAAAGTATACGTTTTCCCATAGGAATGGGACCATTTTTGCTTCTTGGGCCTCTCTTGGGGTGCCTCTCGGAACGTCTTGGGCTGAATTTTGGAAGCCTTTTGGCGCCTCTGGGCGGCGTTTTGGCGCCTCCTGGGATGTGTTGGGCCGGAAGCTCGGAATTCGAGAGTGGCTTTCTCCTTCTGGGACCCCTCTCGAAGTCGTCTTGGGGTTCTCTTGGGCCGTCTTGGGGCCGTCCTGAGCCACTCGTGCGCAGCCTTGGAGCGCTCCCGGAGGCCTCCTAGGCCGTCTTGGAGGCCTCTTGGGCCGTCTTGGACGCGGTGAAAGCCCAAGATGCGAACATGCGAAAAATATACGTTTTCCCATAGGAATGGCACGATTTTTGTTTCTTGGACCTCTCTTGGGGTGCCTCTCGGAACGTCTTGGGGTGTTTTGGGAGCCTTGTGGCGCCTCTTGGCGGCATTTTGGCGCCTGCTGGAGCCTCTTGGGCCGGAAGCTCGGAATTCGAGGTTGGCTTTCTCCGTCTGGGACCCCTCTCGAAGTCGTCTTGGGGTTCTCTTGGGCCGTCTTGGGGCCGTCCTGAGCCACTCGTGCGCAGCCTTGGAGCGCTCCCGGAGGCCTCCTAGGCCGTCTTGGAGGCCTCTTGGGCCGTCTTGGACGCGGTGAAAGCCCAAGATGCGAACATGCGAAAAATATACGTTTTCCCATAGGAATGGCACGATTTTTGCTTCTTGGGCCTCTCTTGGGCTGCCTCTCGGAGCGTCTTGGAGGCTTCTGGGACCTTCTTGGTGTCATGACAGGCGTCTTGGAAGGCATCTGGAGCCATCGGAGCGCGTTCCGAAGCCGCCTGCGAACGATCTTGGACGGCGTCCGGCGGTCCGACGAGCCTCCGGGCCCCCCGGGGCCCACATTTGCGGTCGGGGTCCCGGCCCCGGGCCCCCGGACCCGGTGCGCCGTTATGTATATATATATATATATATATATATATATTGCACGCCCTAGCCCTCATCACACTGCACCGCAGAGCTTTAACTTTCATGATTTACACAGCCTAGCTTACACGACGTAGCTCACACCGCATTGCTGATTCTGCAGGGCTTCCACCTCAACAGTGCAATAACTTCATGCAGGGGGCTCACGCTGGCTGGCAATTTCGAGGCGGGCGCCGCAGCCGCGAAGGCGCCGGGAAGGCACCGATCCGGAGTTTGGGCGGTAGAAGAAGGTGAAAAGCAGCACACGGTGGAGGTTTGTGATAAGGACACCTTCGAAAGGGAACCCAAGGTCTCGCGACCGATGGGCGGCCAAATGTGGGCCACCAACCTCGCCTTGAAACAGTAAGGGATGCGCCAGGGTCTGGGCCCCAGGGTGCCGATGCTAATCCAATGCCGCCGCCGTACATCATCAAGGTTCAAAGTCCAACGTTCTAAGATTTTGGCCGTTATTGGCTCCTGTGCTTGTTCCAGGTCGCCACGGCTGGGTCTGGCTCGGGTTGCCTGGTTTTGCAAAAAGAAGCAATAACGATGACGATGACGACGTTTTCTTCCGAGCGCTAAAGTGCGAGCATTTGGTGACCGTCATCGTCATCGTCATCGTCGTCGTCGTCGAGGGGGCCAGCAGAAGCAAAGTACGAAAAAGAGACCGACGGCTACTCGCGTACACCAGTCCTGGCCATTGTAAGTCCTCGGCGCAAGCCGCTGCCCGGACTCGGCAAACAAGGCACGTCTGCCGATCCATGGGTCAGGATCGATGTGCGGCGGCATCCTATTACCACCTCTTTTGTTAGGATGGTTACCACTACTACTACGATTTGTTCTTAACAACTAAGGATACGAAATAAACTAGTAAAAAATAATGATCGTGCCGCTAGTTTTGCGACTTTTACACAGCTGCACCGTTGGCACAGCTGGCGGCATCCGATTCTGTGTTCGACCATTGACCCTCTTCGACCCATCGGCCTTCGCTGGTTTTCGGCGGCACTTGGCGGTCTCGAGCGGTCCTGGGCAACCTCTGGCGGCCTTCTGTGCCGCAGCTGACGAAGGAAAATTACAGCACAGGGCGCCAGGCATAAATGAAGGGGCCCTGGGACACACAAATAAATACACGCAAATAAAATGATTCCCCATATTTCCTTTTTTGGGGGGGGGGATTTTGGTCCTCCCCCCCACTTCCCATATTTTCCCATATTAATCGTGTCTGTGTGTTTTCTTCCCTCCTGAAGAACTGGGCGCCAGCCACAAAAAACTCCTCCGATCCTGGCCGGGACCCTCCCGAGCCAATGTCCGGTGTACAACGCCCTCTTGGCTGGGCCAACAATTTACCAGTCTGGAACATATCCCTATCCTTCTGCTGGGCACCGTCTCCTCACGATGCCGACCTCAGGGGTTCCCTCAGTTTCTGAGGGCGCATCCCTGAGATTGCCATCGCCTTTTGGCGTGCCAATCGTAAGGATAGGGATGAAGTTCGAGGCTGGTGAACAGTCCACGCCTGCCAATCCTGGGCCAGGACCGGTGCAGGCGCCGAGCCAGCAGCCTCCGCTGGCGGGCTCGGCCCATGGGCTCCCGGCGGCACGTCGGCGGTCCGGGCGGTGGCATGCGCGGGAGCTGCACGGTCTCGTCGAACAGGGCGGCCACGATCGAACACCCGAAGACAAGGAGCATCAGAGTACGAACACCTTCAAAGCATAAAATAAACGGTCGGAGATCCGCGCGAATGTATCGCATCTTCGGAGGCGGGACATCCGCGCTGAGCTCCGAAAACTTCTATTTACGACATTTCCCGAGAGGGGGGCCGTGACGAAGGGAGATGAGGGATCGCCGGCCGTCCATGACGAGGTCATCTCCACAGCGCACGCGTGCGACTCAGGTGCTGTTTTACCGAGCTCCGCGGCGCATGCAGGCGGCAGGCCCGAGGCCCGCAGAAACAATAACAAGACAACGAAGAGAGGACGAGGGGAGAGAGACGAGGAGCCGGAGGGAAATGCCGCCATCAGCGCTGCGAGAGACGCGGGGGGCGAAAAAAAAAAACCCGCGACGCGCATCTCGCGGATGCTCCCCCTCCTCCACTGATGGGCACATTTTCCACCACCGCTATCATATATAGGCAGGGGAGGGGATCCTCCTCCTCCTCCTCTTCTTCCTCCTCCTCATCCTCCAGCTCCTTCCCCCCTCCAACTTCTGGTGGTGGTGGTGGAGAACAAGCCTCTCATCCACCTCCTCTTGCTGGGGCGGCGGGCGGGGGCTGTCTGACAACGCAGGACGCCTCTTACGAACCCTCCAATTTGCCTCCGAGACGCAATCCGCTTTCCCCAAAAGTCCGCCACCCGAATTCTGCGAGCCGCCCGCCTCCGTCCTCCGCGTCTGCGCGTGGCGGCTGGCACTTGACACCCTCCTCCTCCTCCTTTTCCTCCTCCTTTTCCTCCTCCTCCTCCTGCTCCTCCTCCTCCTCCTCCTCCCCCGCCCCCCCTCCTCCTCTTCTCCTCCTCTCCTCCTCCTCCTCCTCCTGCTCCTCCTCCTCCTCCTCCTCCTCAGCCCTCTTCCTCCTCCTCTCCTCCTGCTCCTCCTCCTCCTCCTCCTCCTCCTCCTCCCTCCTCCTCCTCCTCCTCCTCCTCCTCCTCCTCCTCCTCCTCCTCCTCCTCCCCTCCTCCCCCTCCTCCACCTCCTCCTCCTCCTCCTCCTCCTCCTCCTCTTCCTCCTCCTCCTCCTCCTGCTCCCCCTCCTCCTTCCCCTCCTCCTTCCCCTCCTCTTTCGTTTCGTGCTTCGTGACATCGGTGGTGCCTCGGCCCCGCGCGCTTCAGTGGTGGTGGTGGTGGAAGGGAATGTCGGCTGGGGAGTTTCCCTTCGCCTCTCCATCGGCACTCAGGCCCTGGCCCCCGACCCGAACCCCAGAGCAGTATAGGTGAGGGAAAGAGAGAAGACCAGGAGGAATTAGGCGGGGAGGCGCCATTTACTACAAGAGCCCCGTACTGGGGAACTCGGGCATAGACCTTACTCCATGATGGCGCATCATCGGGACATCGACCCTTGCGACGCCCGTCCTGGAAGAACATACCGATGATATAGAGGCACGAATAAGAAATCTAATATTGGCACCCTCAGAACAAAAACACAAACACGATCATGTGCACACACGCACACACAACACACAGACACATGATATGTGCCACATGACATGCGCACACACACACACATGACAGGCGAACCCCGCGCACTCCCCACAGGAGCACTCCGTTATCTGCCGCTCCCGACGCAGAAAGCCCTTGGACCACCCCACCCTCCCTTTGGCCCACCCCCCACCCCCCGAGCAAAGGAGAGAGCGAAGAGGAGAGGCCATGCCTCAGCCCAGCCCCGAACCACAACGTGAATGCGAGGACGTGGGACAGAAGTTGAAATCAGGCCCCGAGCACGCTGCCACGCTACCGCCCCCCGCCCGCCAGGAAAGGGGGCCCACTCCCTGAGAGATGGTGCAAGACCATATCCGGCGCAGGGGGAGTGGGCTCCATTCCTCAGGGTGCAAGACCCCCACTCCCTGGGCGGCGTTACAAGACCACCACCCGGCGCAATGGAGTGACCAGAAGGCGACGACGCCCCAGCGGACAGACCACTCGAGTACCTTCCCCACCGGAGCTGTTTTTCTTTTGTTTCCTGCGTTGATACTGGGCCAGAGTGGCCCTCTGCGCGCGTTTTGGCGGCGCCTCCCCGCCCGCCGCCCCTCCCGCCCATCCCACCCGCCTGTGAGTCGGCGCTCTACTCCGCGGAGGTCAGGGGACCACATCTGCGCGGCGCCCCGGAGAGGCACCTTAGGATCAAGAGGCCCAGACCGAGGCGCCTCACTTCGCCTGCCGGTCCCCGGGGATCAGGCGGGAACCAGCCTCACGCTGCCCGTTGTGAGGAGGAAGATTCTCGGAATCCAACCGCCCCCGCACATACATGGCAGCGAGCCGTGCCCGCCCGCCCCACTCATCGTAGTCTGGGCCAGCGTATAGCGGTGAGCAGCACATGAAGGGTCGTACCTGGGACGTGTTCCACAGAGCGCACCCCCACCGCACCAAGCTTAGGTCACCGTGAGGCGACGGGAGAAGTCCGGGCCGGGGGGAACCCGAACGATCCCCCATCTGTGGGTTGGCCGCCCCCAGGCGCCATCGAAATTTTGCGCGCGCACTCGACCGAACGCCCCCCCGGGCACCTGGAGAGCGTTGCCCCTCGGCTCAAGCGGGAGGTTTGGGCACTTCGAGCCTATTTCGGCGCCGTACCGCCCAACCTCTTACCCCGAGACGCGTCCGACTCGGCGGTCTATGGACGTGCCGGTGCGGTTGGCGGCCACACCCGGCACCGCGGCCCCGGGAGCAGGGCGTAGGCCGGTGAGGACTACGGGCGCGCCCCCCGACGCCATGGCTAAGGCTGGACGTGGCATTTGTGTCCGAGGATCCGAAACGCTGCATGGAGCAACCCAGACACGAGACCCGAGACCCTGCATGCACCAACCCAGCACGCATGCCACGCCGCGCAACACACGCACGCATACAGATACACGCCAGGCATATGCAACACCCGAACGCTCGCACGCGCGCGCAAACACACTCGACCCGTCTGTTGCCAATATTCCTAGTTCGCGCTTCAGTGCGCGCTCACCGTGCCCGGGTGCCTGCGGCGCACGCGCCCTGGCAACCCCGGGGTCACGGCGTCGACCGTGCCGCCACGATCCGCAGCACAGCCTGCGGAGGGCACCAACTATACACCTGCACCGATCCTGGCCCAGGCCGATCCTGGGCCCAGGATCGGTGCAGATGCATCCTGCCCGAGGCAGGAAGGCGCACACACGGATCCTGGGCCCAGGGTGACCCTGGCCAGGATCGGTGCTGGTGTATAGTTGGTGCCCTCCTGAGCCTGCTTGCACCCTTCCCGCCGTATCCGCCATCCCTCCACCACCAAGCGGAGTTCCTCGCAAGCGCTGGGCCTCCTGGGTTGAAAGCCACCGCGGCCCGCCTCCACTGCCCGCCACATCCTCGACCCCACCGCTCACCGTTCTGGATGGCATTGGCCTCAGAAGGATGGCCCCCCCATGGCTCTTTACCCAAATTGGTTTCTTGCCGCTCCCCCGCCTCCTGCTCGCCAACTGCAGCAATTTAGATTGCACCGTCCAGCTCCACCACAGACTGCTGCCACTGTTTGCCTTTCATGCCCTCCCGCTGCGCACACCTCGTCGAGCCAGAGCAGGGGGGCGCCTCTGGGAGGCCGCGCGCCCTTGCCCCCGGGGTGCTGGAGCAAATCGCCAGTGCATGCACCAGCGATGCCACCCAGCCCCCGCAAGGCGGGCGGGCCCTCTTACAAGGAGTTGCTGCGACTGCTGGTGCTCCCCATATGCCTCAGCAGTCCGCTCCCCCTCCCAGCGAAGATGGTCCAAACACTAAGGTTTACGTACGTCGCCGTCTCCTCCTCCACCACCGCCGCCAATCTAGACTAGCTTACTTCCTCCCCTGACCCGTGAGTAAAACGCACGTCACGATTCGCTGCCACTGCCATCGCCACAGCCTCAACGCAGCGGCCGCAGTAGTTCATCGAGGCGCTCGGCGAGTCCCTCTGGGGACGGGGCGCCTGCCTAGGCTCAGTGCAACCACGCTCCGGTTGCGCCTCAACGCGGGGAGGGCCCGCCGCCACTCCCGAGTGCGCCAGCGCACAGCGTCAAAGCGTGCTCCAGCGATGCCGCTGGGCCCCCGCAGAGCGGACGTGGCTCCACACACTGCAGCACGCCCCCGCCTAAGGGGGATCTGGCCGCTCATAGGCCTCACGTGCATCCTGGGGGGGGGTCCTTGGGTGTCCTGTGTGTTTTGGCCGGCGGAGGGTCTCGCGTCCTCGAGGGATGTTTTTTCTGTTCCAGGTTCGACGCTGTGTCCATTCGCCCGCGGACATGGCGGTCCTGGCGGCTCTGCGCGGGCCTCCCGCGCATGTGACCAGAGGCCCAAGGGGGATCTGGCCGCTCATGCGCGCCACCAGCCATGCAGCAAAGAAGCGCCACTGACGTTTGCTCCATGGTGCCCGCTGCGGGGGCAGCGGGAAAGGGGACTTGAGGGGGGCGATCTCCGCGTACGGAAGCACGCCGTCGTTAGCTGATCGGCCCAATTGTTCGCGAAACCAGTGCTCCTCATGGCGCCGGGTTGCCGGCATTACCACGAGGTGCTTCCATTTCGCCACTGACTTCTTGCACTCCTCCTCCTCCCACTCCTCCTCCTCCTCCTCCTCCTCCTCCTCCTCCTCATCCTCCTCCTCGTCCTCCTCCTCCTCCTCCTCCTCCTGCCTCTCTTGCTCTCCCGCCTCCTCCTCCTCCTCCTCCTCCTCCTCCTCCTCCTCCTCCTCCTCCTCCTCCTCCTCCTCCTAAGGGGCCGAAGGGGCTGGCCAATGGTGCGACGAGGTCCAGCGCAAACCCGCACGCCCTCACTGCCAGCTGCCCCGGCTGCCGCTCCTCGAACAAAAAAACGGGGCCTCCCCTCGGCCTCGGGCGGAGAGGCATCAACACACTTCCAGGGCGCGCGCAGGGGGGGGGCGAAGCGCAGATCGCACTGCTGCATTCCTCGTGGCGGCCGATCCGCTGACCTGCACGCGGCTGGTATGGTGGCGTGGCACGCCGAGAAAAGGCCGTCATGTCCCAAGTTGGCATGACAGAAGCGGGTCCTGAGGGAACCGCGTCCTGGACCTCGGGGCCACCCCGGGACCAGCTCTTCCTCCCAAATCGTCCTTTCGCTGTCCCAGGACGTAGCGACAGTCCAGAGAGCCCGAAGACGGCGAATGCCCTCAGGACCCGTTAACTCCATGGCGACCGAAACGAGGGCTCGCCTCGCGCTCTAGAGGGCATAGCTGGTATTTCCGCGCACCCCCCACCGCCGCCACCACAAGTAGGAGGGGGAGGGGGTCCTCCTCCTCCTCCTCCTCCTCCTCCTCCTCCTCCTCCTCCTCCTCTCATCCTCCCCTTCCCTCCACTCTGCTGCACGGGCGGGCTCGCTTACGGAGCCCGCGCACGCGGAGAAGGGGGCGGAGCCGAAGCCGGTGCTACTACCAGAGGCTGCCGCCTCCTTCGGCCTCGTCCTTTCCCTTGCCGGCCCCTGGGGGGGAGCCCTTGTGCTTGCCCTTCTTGCTGCCCTTGCCGTTCTTGCCACCCTTGCCTTTCTCGTCCTCGCCGTCGCCGTCACTGTCCTTCTTCTCCTGCTGGCGCTCCTGCGGCTCCGTCGTGGATTCGGTCCCTGCGCCGGATCCCTTTCCCTTGCCCTTCCAGCCGTTCTCGCTGTCATTGTCCGTCTTATCCTGCTGGAGCTCATGCTGCTCCTTCTTCGCGACCTCGGTCCCTGCGCTGTAGCCCTTGCTCTTGCCCATCTTGCCGTTCTCATTGTCCCTGTCCTTCTTGTCCTGCCGGAGCTCCTGCCACTCCGTCGCGAGCCCGGTCCCCGCGCTGGAACCCTTGCTCTTGCCTTTCTTCCCTTTCTTGCCGCCTTTGCCGTCCTCGTCCTCGCTGTCGCTGTCCTTCTTGTCCTGTTGGAGCTCCTGCTGCTCCTTTGCGAGCTGCTTCCGCACCAGCTTCGCGTATACCTTGTCGTTGCGCAGGAGCTCGTCGTGCGTGCCCTCCTCGAGCTTGCACCCCTCGTGTAAGACTATGATCTTGCTGGCGTTGATCACGGTGGACAGCCTGTGCGCGATGAGGACCACGCTGCAGTTCCCCTGCATGCGCTCCACCATCTGGTCTATGGCGCCCTGGATCTGCCGCTCGTTCTCCGAGTCCAGCGCGCTCGTGGCCTCGTCCAGCAGCAGGAGCTGCGGCCCGCGCAGGATGGCGCGCGCGATGGCCAGCCGCTGCTTCTGCCCGCCGCTCAGGCGGCTGCCGCCCTCGCCCAGCATGGAGTCGTAGCCCTGGTCCATGCTCAGGATGAAGTCGTGGATGTTGGCAGCCCGCGCAGCCTCCTCCATCGACGCGTCCGAGTATTCCTCGGACGAGAGGCCGTAGGAGAGGTTCTCCCGCACCGAGCGGGCGAAGACCTGGGTCTCCTGGCTGACCACGCCGATCCGGCGCTGCCACGCGCGCAGGTTGAGCTCCTGGAGGCGGTGGCCGCCGACCAGGATGCTGCCGCCCTGCGGGTCGTAGAACCGGAGCAGCAGGCTGACGCAGGTCGTCTTCCCCGCACCGCTCTTGCCCACCAGGGCCACTGTCTTGCCGGCCGGGATCGAGAAGCTGACGGAGCCGAACACCAGCGAATCTGGGCGCATCTGGTATGTGAACTTCACGTTCTCGAAGACAATGTCTGGCAGCGTGTGGCCTAGCTGGAGGGCTGCGGGGTCGTCCAGCGGGATGTCTGGCGACGTGTCGATGATCTCGAAGACACGCTTGCCAGAAGAGGCAGAAACGATCAGAGTGCTCAACATGCTGTTCATCTGCCTTACAGAGGTTTGCATCATCTGCCAGTAGAGGTTGAATGTGACAAGGTTCCCTATGTTGAGCTGCATGTCGCTACCATCAAGAATGGCATTGCCTCCGTACCAATATATCAACACCCCGGTGGCAAAACTCAGACAGTAGGTGGTCGCTGTAACGCCAGCGGATGCGAATGAATCCTTTAACATCCACTTCCAACAAAGGTCGATGTTGGAGTTATAAGTATTTCGCTCGACCTGGTCAGCACCGAAAGACCGCACGGTCCTGATATTCCGGAGGGCCTCGGTGGCAACAGCGGTGCAATCCCCCATCGCTGACATGATGAGTGTGTTTACGCCCTGGCTCCAAGTCGCGTAGACTGTTGTAAGATACATCACTGGGCCCAACATGGTGGCAGCCAACAACGTCAATTTCCAAGATGTATGTATGCACATAACCGTTGCACCCGTTAGCTGCACCATTCCGGATAGGAACATGGTCAAGAACTGCGAAATCGGCTGTGTTAGCTGCGCGACGTCGCTCGTCATCCGGCTAGTGAGCTGACCAACCATAATGCCATCATAGAGGGCGATGTCCTGCACGAGCAGATTTTCAAACATCTGCTTCCGCAGTCTCAGGACGAGCAACCGGGACACGGTCATCGCTGTCAACCCCTGTACAGAACCGAATATGGATGTAACAATGGAAAGCGCGATGAAGAAATGTAGATCTGTCTGGAATTTACCACGATCCGCCCCGATCAGGGAATTGATGATGTCGCCCTGATATCCGCCACCGTGTTCTGAGACACGAATTGAAGTGTCCTCAGGTCCTCTCGAGGTCTCTCTACCGAATACAAAGAATATCCTGATGTGGGGGCGAGTGCCCAAATTTCCAAATATTCTGGGCGCTCTCGGGCGCTCCTAGGGTCGGTCGTGGCTCCTGAAAAATTCAGGATGGGGAACATCACTCCAAGGCGCCCAAGATGGCCCAAGAAGCCCCCCAGACGCCCTAAGAGGGCTCCCTCGGGAGGGCGCCGAGATGTCCACACACGTGATGATGCAAAGACTTTTGAAGGACGTTGGTGCTCCCGCCTTTTCGGGCCTTCGACACTCCAAGACGGGCCTAAGAGGCCCCCAAGATCGCCTCAAGAAGGCCCAAGAGGCCCCAAAGAGCGCCCCCAAAGGGCCCAAGATGGCTCCAAGCCGGCCCAAGGGGCTCCTTAGACGGCCCACTAGGGCCCCAAGGAGGACCCAAGAGAAGCCAAAGAGAGGGAACACGAACCGACGCTTCGAGCCCTTGGCCCCAAGATGGCCCCCGAGACCACCAGCAGGCCCTCAGAGATCCCCCGCAAGCTCCAGGAGGCCTCCAAGAGTCTCAAAATCACGCCCCAAGAGGCCCCCAAGAGATCCCCGAGAGAGCCCCGAGACACCACAAAGCCGAATCCAAGAGGCTTCCAAGAGGCCTCCCAAGAGATCCCCACCGGCATCCCAGAGGCCTCTGACCTACAACCCGGGCACGGTGGCAGGAAGAGCCGAAGGCCACTAGATTTTGGCAGGAAGACTTGAACGATCTGAGTGCAGAATACGCAAACGACGGCGATGACAAATTGAATCAAGAAGGGGGTCACCAATTTGTAAAATCGGCGCCAATACTCCATGTTGGTGAGGTTCTGCTGCGACTTGGGCCCCAAATCACCACGCAAGATGCCCTCTTGCACTCCACCCTGCCGGACCAGGCTTTTCTGGAAACACCTGGTGCACACGACGTACCCCTGTCCACCCTTGCCCTTGCCTGCACCCTTGCCTTCTCCCTCGCACGTCTTGCACCTGTAGTGTTTGTAACCGCCAGTCTCGAGTCCGATACGAGAGGCACAGAGGTTGCAGAAGGACATGCACTGCTTGTCCATGAACGTCAATTCGTGGTCGTGTATTGTGGTGTTGAGAACACCCGCGGGAGAGGTCAGCCTCTCGAGTAGCGTCCTCTGCATGATGAACTGGGCGTTCATGCAGACGACCGTCGCGGCGAGCAAAACCCCCAAGCTGGAGTCGGCGGACGTGAGCGTGATGGCATGCAGGCTTGTGAAGACCGCCTGGGCTGTGACGGTGACGAAGGTTACGAGGTTCAGGGCCTTCCTCCTCATCATGGTGCCGTTCGGAGGCCACGTGCGAACCCTACGCCACCACCCCACGATTTCTGAGGGGCGAGGTGGGGTGTCGCTTCGATCGGGAGGTCCCGAACGAAGGGGAATCCCGCCTCCCTCCTCGGAAAATCGTGGGGCGGTGGGGTTGGGGTTCGCAAGTGGCCTCCTAGCCGTGCTCTCGTGTACTCGGCTCGGTCAGCGGCTGGCTGCCGACCGAGGGGCTGGTCGGCCGCTCCTCGTCCTCGCGGAGCAGCGCCGCCTCGCGCTCGGCCTGCGGCTGCGGCCGCGCGCGGGAAGCCTCCCCCCTCGCCGCCGCGCTGGCGCCAGCGAGGGTCGCACAGCACAGCAGGGCCCGGATGGCGTAGAGGGCCAGGTAAGTGGCCGACAGGTCGAAGAACAGCGCCAGCGAGCACGAGAGGTCCACGGCGCTCGTGACCTCAGCAGGGCTTTGGATGACCCCTAAGGGGGTCCAGCTGCAAGGGGGTGGCGCAGTAGGTTTGGGGCCATTGTGTTGCATATGTATTACGCCAGAGAAGTGTATTACATTGTATTGCAACGAATGGATTGCACGAGAAAATCCAGCAATACATTTGCGCCCCGATCTGTATTGCACGCCTCAAGTGTATTGCACCCCCACAAACCTATTGCACCACCTCCTTGTCGCTGGACCCCCTTTTCGGTGAACCCGCAAGGCGGAAGCGGGTCCTGAGGGAAACGGGTCCTGCGCCCCGGTCCTCCCCCCCGACCCAGCTCTTCATCCTGAGTCGTTTCCCGACGGTCCCGGGGCCCGTGCGGGGGTCCAGGAGCCCCGAAAACTGTGAAAGACCTGAGGGCCCGATTCCTCAGGACCCGTTTTGGGGAAACCGGAAGGTACCGATACCGCTACCCACCAGATCTCTCCCAGGGTGCGCCTCGACCAAGACTTCGAGGCGAATCCAGCGGTGGAGACGAGGGCCTCCCAGGAGGCCCCCAAAAAGGGGAAACGGGCGAAGGGTAGAGGTATGGGTACCTTTTCCTCCTCCAAGAGAGGGGGGCGCAAATCATGGCCGGCGGCATGTGCGCAGACCAGGGGCGGACGCGGGGACGTAATGAAATAAGAAGGGGCGCCATGGGTTCTGAGGAAATATTACGGCCCCCGCCATGATACGTCTCCCCCCTAGTCTTGCGGATGCCACGACAATGGGCACCCTAACAGTCCGATCCTTGAATTCAGAATACGTTAAAAGGTCGGAACATGTCATGGAAATGTCTCAAACATGTGTGTTCTACATGTCTGAAACATGTTTAACACACGTCTTGGACATATGGAAAGCATTTGGCAACATGACTCCTCTCCACTGATCGTCCTCCACCCCCCCCCCCCCGAGTCATCACCCCTTTTTTGAGGGATGAAAAAAACGAGCCTACCCTGGGTTACAAGTGCGTGGTCTGTAGAACACCTCCTGGGACCCCCCAAAGCCTAGAGCCGCCAGGACGCGGCACATCACGCAGGGTTTACCCTGTCACCACACAGGAGTTTCAGCGCACAGCGCCTCGTAAACCAGGGTAGCCCCCGAGTTGCCCCCGAGTTCCCCCCCCGACTCTGGCAAGCGCAAGAGGAGTTTCAGCGCACAGCTGCGCTTGACTCTTGGTCGCCCCCGAGTTCCCCCCCACGGCGAGTGACCGCCAGCGCCAGCAGCAGCGGACGGCTGGCCCGCAGCCGCTCCCCTGCGCCGCTCCGCGGCCCGGCGCCGGGCATGGCCGCGGCGGGCCGTCGCAGGGGGCCCCCCCCCGGTGGGAGCGCAGGCCGGGGGCGCCCCTCGCTGCCAGAGCCTGGGCGCCGGAGCCCGAGCACCTGGGCCAAACTGGGTTTACGCTGGTCCTTCTCCTCCTCCTCCTCCTCCTCCTCCTCCTCCTCCTCCTCCTCCTCCTCCTCCTCTCGCTCTTATCCACTTCCATAGTACCTCCACCGGATGCCCCCTCTCCTCAATATCCTCATTCTCCCCATCACCCTCCTGCTCCTCCTCCTGCACCTTCCCCTCCTACGCCTCCCCGTCACCTTCTATAACATTATCCTCCCCTTGTCATCCTGATCCTTTTCCTCCGCCTCACCATCCTCCTCACCCTTGCGCTGCTACTCCTCGTCATGCCCCAAATCGGAGGCGGTGGGCTCCGAAGAATGTTTCGTACCCCCATCCTCCACACCCGTCCCCTTCTGTCCCCAAATCCCCTTCCGTCGACTCGTCCTCCTCCCCTCGTCTTCTGCCTCATCCCAATCCTCCGCCTCCTCCTCCCCGCCCCCATATGTCTCATCACGCTCATCCTCCCGTCCCTCTACAACTACTCATATGATTACTACTCTCCCCTAGTGGCCAGGACCCCCATTCCACGTGTGCCCGCTCGAGGATGACGCACTTCCCGCACGGCAGTTCATACCTGAACCCCCTTCCATGGGCGCCCTTTCAAGGATGGTGCACGTTCCGCATGGCAGCTAATTTCTGAACCTTCACCCCTTGCGCGCAAGCTCGAGGACTGCGCACTTCCTACATGGCTGCTAACTCCTAGACCCCCTTTATGCCACGCGCACCCGTTAGATGATCTTGCACCTCCTGCAACTGGCCATCGCTCGGACGTCCATTTCCTGTGTGTTTGTTCGGTTTCGTGCGTGCTTTTTCCGCCAAATGGTCGAGGATGCTCCTCGATGGTCCTCGCCGAGGAAAAAACGCACACGTCCGAGCGATGCCAGGGCAATCCAAGGCGCTGCTCCCAAGCGCTCCAGGGCCTCTCACGCCACGACCCCCCGCGAAGAACTGTGGATGCGCGCCCCGAGCTTACAAGACGGCGAGGCGTACAATGTGGCCCAAGATGCCTTGAAGACGGCCCAAGCTGGCCCCAAGGCGGCCGAATATTGAGGCACGACGGCCCAAGATGCCTGCCAAGAGGGCCCAACATGGCAACACGAAGACCTTTGACGGGGACAGCAGAATCCAACATCATTGATTCCACTTGGGTGCTTGAATGGTTGTCTCATTCTCGCCTTTTCGACCTGCCGTCAACTCAAGACGGCCCAAGAGAACTCCATGAAGGCCCAAGAGGCATCCATGACGGTCCCAAGACGGCCCAAGAAGGCCTCCCGTGGGACCCAAGACGGCCTGAGAAGGCCTTTCGGCGGCCCAAGACGGCGGCAAGACGGCCCACAGACACCCACCATACATCCAAGGGGGCCCCAAGGCGGCTCACGAGACCCCCAAGCCGGCGTAAGAAGGTACCAAGACGTCCCAAGTGGGCCTCACGGAACCCCAACGACTGCCTCACAGGAGGCAAGGACAGCCTCAACACGTCCCACACGAGTGATCCGAAACGGCCCAAAGGAGTGGCACCACCACCACCACCACCATCACCATCACCATCACCATCGTCAGCATCATCATCATTATAATCATCATCATCATCATCATCATCAGCAGCATGAGCATCAGCATCAGCATCACCATCATCATCATCACCATCATCATCATCATCATCATCATCATCATCTTCATCATCATCATCATCGTCATCATCAGCGGTATCACCTTCACCATCACCATCACCATCATCATCATCATCATCAGCATCATCATATGTATCATCATCATTATCACCATCATCAACATCATCATCTTTATTATCAGCAGCAGCATCAACAGCAGCATGATGATAATCCTCCTCCCCCCAT